TACCGCTGAACGCAGTCTGTTCTTATCTAAGTTCCCTATGGCCCTGATCACCCCCAGATATTCGACCTTTCAAAAAAAGAATTAATTTATGTTAAAACACAGATAATTATTTGAATCCTTCCCTATATAACTGATATGGGTTAAATATTAGTAGTTGGTTGGGCAGAACGAAGGTGATGGAAGACTTTCTCGATTAATTTAGATTTTGGCCATTAATAGCCGTCAATCAAGTCCAGTTCGTGATATTCACAGTATTAATTACAGCTCAAAGCTAGAGAATGTACATATAACTGAAATCTTCGAATACGGACGGATGTTTTTTAAGTTTGAATAAGAATTTTAGGTGATCCTTAAAGACGAAAGGCATTAGTATATTAGATTTTCCTTGTAATGGGCTTGTTAAACCAAGAGGAATTGGTGAACAAAGGTGTTATTTGAGAGGGTGCATTAATAGCTACCGTTTCGAAACTAGTTCGCGTAAATATTTTGGTTATTAGCTCTTTATTAAGCTGAAAATGTCAACTAGTCGATGAAATACTGGAAAACAGAAAAAATAATCACATATTTCAAACAGGTAAAACAATTAAGATTATAGCTAAAACCTAAGATTCAAATAAAGATATGCATGAACAAGAAATTACATAATCTAAATCTATTTTCCGTACAATTGCCATTTGAAATGATTTTTCATACAGAAGAATTTCTTCATAAATACTCGGTTAAAGGTGAATGATTACCATAATACTATTCTTTCGACATTGTTAACTTCTTAAAAAGTATCATCTCTGAGTATGTACACGATTATTTAGCTTTTGAGTCCTCATCCACCAGTTTGACTTCTCAGATTAATGAAATAAAAAAAATCCCCAGACCACAAGACGGTAAGTGCTGTTTGCTTTTGCATGGGAAGTATATATTTATATCAAATGGCAGGCGTTTCGATACTTATCATTAGCCCTTAAGCTGACTTCGGACCTCACAGAAGGGAGGAACATCATAATGAGAAAAATTCGAGAAGTGGAAAGAAAAGTGATTCACAGATATAAAGTGACAGTTGGGCACAAATGCAGAGAATAGGTAAGATGAGTACTGTTAAAGTGGTCGAATTTGACATACAGTGGGGTCGGGGAAGTTTGAAGTCAGAAGTCAACTGCCGGTTAATGGACATTTTTTGCCGTATGAGTATACGTTGCCCAGGGTTCACCACACGCACCCCGTTGCATAAGAAGTTATGTGCTGAAAAAGAAACATCTATTATTTAGTGTTAACTAGTTCAGCCACCCCTTTCCTTCAAACTCATAAAGCCCACGTTCATGCATACATACACACAACCCAACTCAATCTTACCCTCTCGATTCCTCATCATGATTGGTTCATTCTTCTTGGACTAAAAGAATGTATTGTTCCAAATATATCTGAAGCAGTAAAATGAGCACATAATCATTAACTTACTTGGGCAAGGCAGTCTCCGGCGCTTCAGGTAGAAGGAAAATTACCGCTGAATTGTCACCCTTCCCAGATGTATGAATCATGTTATTACGAAAAGGGAAGAGGGATGATGTGGCGACAGATTATTTATCCCAGAAGACCACAGATAAATAATTTTTTTGGCTGAATTTGTGCCTGGTATCCCATGGAATGGTAAATATCAATAAAATGGATATGGATCAAGAAATGGTTCCAACTCTAGATGAAAGGGAGGAGAGCTAAAATTGATTTTAATTGATAAGGAAGTGAAGAAACAAACAAATGAAACTAAAGGAAGAACAGGTGGCAAAGAAAAGGCGAAACGCTGAGAAGTTTGGTGTACGATTCAGTTGAACAGACGATAACGAGAGGGTGGGGGGAAAGGAGATTGCTTCAAGTCAACCGGAACCATTTACCGAATGAATACTAGGTCCAGGTGGATAAAATACAAAAAATTATCTTAATTTGTAAATTAACTTCTAAGCAAATGAATTTCGACCATATTGAAACTGTAAGCTACCAAATACCAAGCAATATCAATTTGCCTTCCCAAAAGTTAGAAGAAAAGTAACTTTAAGTGGTGAGACAACCCTTCTTGATTAAAAACAGCTAATATGGACTGAATGTCATAGAGGTGCATTTGCCACAATCAAGGAGCGATTCAAGAAAATTGAATTTTGGAACGTGAGATGCTCAAGATGTGCCTATTGTACAACCCGAACCAAAAATATGATTGAGTAAAAATCTTCGACATTTGAGAATGTTCTCCTAACTCCGCTTCCTTCCGTTGTATCCTTAATCAGACTATTTGTTAACCGAATCCAGTCCCTTCTTCCCGATTAAAAGTTAAAATTTTTGTGTTAATATGAGTAATATTAAAGACAATTTTATGCTACCACTCGGATGCCTGTCAGAGAGGAAACAAGTTGGGAAAAAGGAGAATTTGGATTTCTATCAGTTTAATGCTCCTTTAAGAAGAATATGTCCTGCTGTAAATTTTATTCCTCAAAGGGTTCTTTGAAGGGGTTCACATCGAACGTGCTGCCAACGTTAAAAAAATCTTTTTAATTGTTTCAATCACCCCGGGCTGGAAATTAACTGCATAAAGTCCATACAGAAGTTTGCTCTGTTTGAATTTGACACACTAACCACATCAGATGAAATGTTAGGAATATTAGGAAATAAACTGCAAGTTAAGAACGGTATTTGAAAACCGCTTGATTGTTGAAGAGCTGCCCGTATTACATCTAAACTTTATGCTTAACCCTAAACCAAATAACAGCGGTAGGAAACGACATTACCCTGGGAAGATAAAACAATTTTACATTTTATGCTCTTTTTCACTTTTTTTCAATTTTCATAACAACTTCTCCTAACCATTTGAAATGTGAAGTATTCTCCGAATTGTTTTTAATACGATATTATATATTTCAAAAATCTGTCAGTTACCAATGAAATCTGCAATGGTGATAGCCGAATCTTTGCTGTATCTTAGCTATTACATGCACCAAAAACCTTTCTTTCAAGTTAACAGTGATGTGATTATTTCCTGAAATGCCGTCTCTCTCGAACCTTAGTTTCTAGTGGGTTTTTATTTTATTTCAGTAAATGACTTAGCTTCTTGACCTGAGAATTCATAATGTTGGGTAGAACTGTTTCTTATTATTTCTTTCTTCTTTGGTTATACCCCCAAACATATGGAGCATTAAAGTAGATTGCTTTGTCTTAACAATGGCCTCCTGATATGTTTGGGAACGAACGCAGAACTATATATATCAGTATATATCACTGATATGGCAGCATAATCATGCCTGTCTAAAAGGTATATTGCTGGGCGCCTGGAGATCTAACGAAGAACGAAATGACCTGGAATTCTTGGGTCGAATATTTAATTGTTAAATGTATGTGCTTGTCCAGATTCAAATGCAAATTTGCTCCCTTCGTAGAGAAATTGATGATTTACCCTACATTTACAATTGATTAGGGTGCGGCTAGAACGTAGAGGAGACATTTGCGGTAGAGGTAATACTTCCAGGAATGAAATACCACTACTTTTGATTTAATAAGCTATCACTAGTCGAAATGTTTAGGTAAGTAACATTATATTAATCAAAGTTAATTTATTACCCAATTTTCGCTTCATTTACTTTTCGTGTTTTATAAATTGTTTGGTTTGATGAATAAATACTTTCACTTAGTTCCTTTTAATTAATCCAAATTGAGAGTGAATCAGAAATTGAGATCTCGAATTCACAATGAAACCTTATGTTAACTTAAGCTGTCTTTATTGATTTTGACATCGGCTTTGTGGAAAAACCGCTCTTTTCTTAAGCACAGCTATGGACACAGGTAGTGATACATCCATAACGTGAATCGGAAAGCAATTTCTAGCCAAAAGGGGATAAGTAAGTTTAGTGATTCACCATAAGCGTACGCTATGTGCTCTAGCATGGCCCGTTTTATTGGTGTAAATATTAATGATAAGTGAACCGGAAGTGCCGTTTAATCCAAAAATCAAAACTTTGAAGGAAAGGAAGCGAATTTGACCGATTTCAGTTATTGAACGTCTTTGAGGCTCCAACTTGATCAAGATGATGATTTTAGTCAGACGAACAATGAAGATCTAATGTGATGTTTAATTTATTTTAGTTACGTTTGAAAATCTGAAACAGGACAAGCAAAAATTATTTTAATAAATTGCTCTATTTCTTACAAACAAACACTTATTGTTTAAAAGTAAAAGCGAACTTTGGAGGAATTGTTAACTGAGCATATTGTAAAGTTGTTTCTACTTCGAAAAACTTAGCATAAACCACCGACATAATCACCTTTATTTGCATTGAGTCTGGAGTACGAAAATATACATTTAATCAGCACTAGAGATTTCAATAGATAAAACAGAGCAATGCAAATATATTTTGATTTGGCGCAGAATATATTCGTACACTAAACTTGTAGTAGAGTGACTTGATGGTATCTTAGGTAACCACGACGTTGTTCCAGGTACATTAAAAATGAGAACGGCATAATTATAGAAGGAGTATTGATCCCCATTAGTAATACTTTTATGACTGCTCCTTGTAATTTAAAATTAGGTAAGTTAATACTTTTTACTTTTTAAATTAAGCAAAATTTGGAAACTGAAATATCCCATTACCATTTATCTACCATAACCTGATGACTTTCAACAAATGCACTAAGAATACAATCGGTTTAAGTTTGTTATGACCTAACTTCCACTAATAAAAGTTTTATTAACTTTTATGAAATAAATCAATCACGAATTACATTATTTAAACTACTTTCCAAGACAATACTTTTATTGATCCATATAAAAGGTCGTGAATGTGGATGGGCCAATAAAAGAGAACTGTGTAATTTGTAAGCCATGCTGATATTTATTCAGAAAATGATTTTCATATTTTTTAGTTGCTCGTCTTTAAAATTTTAGGAATTAAATAGAATTTCTGTTTTATGTGAGGCATCTAAAATTAAGTTTTTCCAATACTTGTTTTTTATTCCTATTTAGGTAAATGGCTTTGGAGTTTGGCAAATCTGATGCAAAAAAGGAAAGAGTACAGGAAAGAAGTCTTGATGTGTGTTGGTTTCTTCTATCTGACGTTCCTCCAGGTACCGTGATTGGACTTGACGCTAATATTTGGACTGTCGGACCAAACTTCAGGGGCATTCGTGATATTCCGTTCGGAGTTCACTATTTCTTTTACAATTCTGCCTCCATCACACCTAATCACAGTTCAGTATCTGGACTTCGATGCAGTCAGTTTCTCTATCTTAACGAGCCTCGAGTAATTCGAAAGCGGTGGGTTAGAGAACGTGAAGAATTCGAGGATCAATTGGATGGGTAATGTGTTATGTTACCTGTTTTCTTATCTTTTCCTTTCTCCTGAAAAAATAATTCAAATATTGTTCATTATATCCTTAGGAATATCGATGCCATGTTATCCAACGAATTAGAATTGAATGCCTATTTGGGGGCTTACCCTCGCGATAGATTTGCGAATTGGATTGCTCTGGCTTCTCATATCACTCCGGACACTATTGAGAGATTAACACCTTCGGGTGGTTGGATCTATTCCTCTGCTCAGTTTCAGTCGGAGAAATCTGAAACCAAGGATCGAGTCTGTTTGCCTATTCCATCACATCTAAAGCGAGGCGATGAGACATGTGTAGACGTATGCCGACCAGAATCGATTGAAAAAGACCTACTGCTACCTGTTCTGAAAACTGTTCCAGAAACTGATGTAAGTCTCCCTGGCAAACAATGAATTTAACTGCAATTTCGTATTGGCATTTTATCTCAACTTAATCATGTCTATGTTATTACGTCTTTGCATTTCATGATAATCTTTCATAATTTAAATTTATTCCAGAAACTGATGCAATTTATTAGATTTGGAATGCTTGTATTTAAAAATTTCCAATTCCTTGGTAATTTTATGAGCTCTTTTATTTGTATTTATGCTAGTTATTGCAAAGCCTTTTTGATAACTGTTTAATTTAATTCCCCCCTCACCTCTTGGATGAAAATCCAACAATTGATAAACTAGTTCGGGAGTTTTGAAGCCTAAAAGTCGGTTTGGGTCTTAGTAGTCCTGTTCTCCAACCATGTTTATGGCAAAATTAGGGTGATTTTTCCTGTCTTATTCTTAGCATTTTAAACTGAGGATTACTTTATTCCTCAAAGTTGTCACAAAAATATTGGTTTTAGTTATTTTCCACTCTCATATTGTTTGTGCCCGATTTTGATGAATGGATCAAATTCTCCCTTGGGTACCTCGGCAGGTCTCGGCTCGTCGATTTCAAGGTCTCAAGAAAGATCAACCTATTTTTGAAATTCTAAATTAATTTTTATCAATCTCCATCTACTTTATGTGAACACAGATCCAGATTAGCATAATTTAGTTATTCCTTAAAACAGAATGCTTATTGTACTTCCCATCGTTTTCTAGCCTGGAGTAAGCTCACCAGACAATGTACGCAGTCGCGAGAAAACCTGCTACATGATATGTCCGTTAAAGTTTCCGAGCGTTTAGAATGAAAACCACACAATCCTACTTATTTCCCCCTCAGTTTTCGACTCTTGAAATATTCTGTGATTCTAAAAGCCGGCTTCAAAATAGTGGATATGCTTTAGCTAATAAGTCATTTACTAGCTTTGATTTACTTCCTAAAGTCAGCTATGGGATTAACTTTCAAACAAACACCTCACTGTAGATCCCTAGCAAGCGAAATCTAACAAGTTTGAATTGTTAAAACAAATTCAGGAATGTGTGGCAAGAGTAATGTCGGCGACCTTTATATTTCAGATTCACTGGACTGCGATACCCCAACATCCACTCTTTCCACCGGGATCTACATCTACAGAAATCAGTCAGTACAATATCGATCAGACATACACACTCAATCATTTAATTGCCCAATTAGACACCTGGAATAGCGATAACAGTCTAGAAGACAATGAATCGGACACTCGCCCAACCGCATTAAGTCGAGGTGAATCGCGGCTTCTTGCAGAGTTTCACTTTGCTTTTGTCATTTTTCTCCTTGGAGAAGTTTTAGATGGTTGGTTTCATTGGCGAAAACTCTTATCAGTTATAGCTAATTGTGAAAAAGCTGTCAGAGAACGACCAACATTCTACAAGGCCCTAATAACCAGTCTCTATCGCCTTTTCACTTATAGCGATGAAAATGAGAAGCCGGAGGAAACGGACACAAGTGGTAATGTAAGGGTTGCAGGCCTTTTCCAAGCTGGAAGTAAGGAAAATGGAGAACTCGCCTTCTTTGATGGATGGAAGAGTTGTGATGTGGATGAACCTGCTTTTCTACCTCATACCATGACGCGTCTCTTTGGAAACATTGCGGAAGCCGCAGAAACAGCAGATAGGAAAAATCATCAAGTTAAAGATGTACAGGAGAGATCGGAAGGTCTAAGAATATGTTTGGAGAGGCGATTTGATGTAAAACTAACCGCCCATCGACAACAAGGTGCTAGAGATGATGGCGAAATTCCAGTTGATGAGGTTAACTGGGATACTGATGAGGCACCTATTATTGTCATGGATTGAAACTATTTGTATATAATGGATAATTCGAAAAAAAAACATTTTTCTGTAATAAATGCTATAATTACTTGAAAGAACATACAGTAAAATAAATCGGTTGACATATTGAGGAGAACCGGTCCTCACTGCGAGTTCTTCTGGCTTTTGGTAGATCGGTCGCTTCGATTACGCCATTGTTCATAGAGATAACGAGTGCCGTAGAAAAATGTAAGTAGGGTTGTGATAATCACCCAGAGTGCGAGCAGCCACGCGGACCATGTGAGTTCAATCCAGTAGGACATCCTAGGTGTTATATGATATACTGGGCTAAAATACGAATTGGAGCAGAGTAGTTGAACTATTCAAATAAAATTCAACCCAAAATAAATTCTAATTAATAGGTACAACAACGCAAATGCTATATGAAAAACTGACATTATGGTTAATTAGTTATGAACAAATTTTGAAAAATTTCATTATAAGATATTAAAGATATGGATAGAAGTTAGTTCGTACCTAACGCCTTCAGCAATGGTCAAATTATTTCGTCACTGGATTTTAGACATTTCTTAAAGATGTATCAACATGAAAGCAAAAATGGTAAAACTTTCTAACAAACCTTGGAAAATAATTGCAGGTAGTAGTTAAAATTGTACTTATGTTTTTACATTGAAATTAACTGCCGCGGATGCAGTATCACAGAGTTTTGAGAAAACAAAATTAGATTAACAGTGTGGAAAGTTTATAGTTATTATGAAATTCATATTTTCAGCAACCCCATATATCTTGTTAATCGGCACGACACCGTTTTAAACCAAGTTAATTTTTACCCCATCAAAGTAAACATTTATTGTTTCAAAAAATAGTGATTTAAACTTTTTTTAATTAAATTACCATACGACAAACAACTTAATATTATTAAAAGTTAACGCCTCCTCTATATTATATGCGGCAAACAAAATCCTGAACTCTAGAATAAGATTATAAATGGAATGGACTAGAGATTGCAATCAACACAAGAGAATAAAAACAAAAGAATAAGAGCTAAAAATTTGCATTGTCATCACGTACGTGATGATTACGCAAGCCATTCTATTTATTTTAGAATCACTAGTTTTTCTGTCTATGTAAAAGTGATAATTAACGTTTTCAATCCCATCTTCAGTTGACGGTAGTAACTAAGACAAAGTACTTGCTAAACATTGTACGAAAAATAGTCTGAAGGAATGAATTACTTCCAAAACTCGTGTACTTTTATTGATTTGAAGTTTTAACGAAGCATCTAATCCAACCAATTAAAATGACCCTTAAATCTGTAGGTCAGTTTTGGTACCAATTCCTGTCTTTTCTCATGGGGTTATTGTGACTTACCTTCGACCATTTTATTTTATTTCCTTATGATATGAATGAGATATCCTTAAATAGTAGTTCTTCTGAATACATAGCGGAATGTTTTGCTGTTTGTGGATTGTCAGACAACCCAACTCCCTATGATGCTTCAGAAATTCTCCTTAATGGTGAAGAAATTGTTCTCTCTGAATCAAAATGTCTGGATTTTTCACGATACTCAACCCCTATTATTGATATTCAAGTAAGCGTTTTAATTATTAATGAATCTTTAGTTGGTTAACATAAGTCAAAAGGAAGAACTTCCTAAAGGTTATCAAGTTCTTGATAAATCAGTTAGTGGTATTTCGGGTTGCTACTTGCAAAATCGGTCAAATGACGACTTGTGCATATGCTATCGTCGTGGATATGCCACACCTCCTATCGGTGACATAACTTTAGTGGATATGTCGGCACGATTAAAAGCTAATTCCTCCAGAATAACAAGAACAATAGGAAATACGTCGGCACTCATTGTAAAAAATCGATTCATACTGAATTCTGGGATGTATCTTTCTTACAGCCGGTTGTCTAGTGATTACGGAGTGAACCAACTTGCTCTAACAGACATCTGTATCATCCTCAAAAAGAAAGGCGAAGTTTGTCCTCTTGGGTTTATGGAATTATCTCAGAAGTTGTTTCACACTCTAGTAAGTGACCATTTGATGTTTATATGTCCTTATTTTCTTCTTTTGGTGTCTTTATTTTTTGTTCAGTATTGTTTGCTTTCTAAAACAAAACAATTAAAAGATTCTTAAATCGAATTACTTGTTCTCGGTTTCTAAGAAGAGAGTAATTTCAATTTGAGGAGGGCGTTGATTCATACACATTGACAAATAGGCAATGGTATTTTGAAAAAGTATTTAATACCTTTTCTGTTTTTTATTCCCTTTTATAACTTTTGTTTAAGTTAGCTTATTTTTCACGTAATATAACACCCTATGTTAGATTTCTCCTGATTTATCAATTCTTTAGCTTTGGGAGTTTATTACATTATTTTTATGGTTCCTTGTTAAAAATAAGCATTTTTCTTTTTGATTCGTGTTTTAGATTGCGCAGCTTCACAACCTCTTTTGTTTCATAACAGAAATTTAGGGAAATGAACCTACGTTCTTAAAAGCGAATCTCAAAGAAATGATTACGAAGACTGACTAGGTTTTTTGGTAGTAATTACCCGATCAGAATAACATACACTTGGGCTTATCTAGTCTCTCCTTCGAAAATAAATCCCTTGCCTTTAATGCAAATTGTAAATGTTCTCTGGAGTAAAATAAGTTGTTTTCTTCCTTTAAGGGTAGTACTTTGATCCAACATGGGAAAATAAGTTGCCAGTTTCTCTCGGTTCTATGCTTCAAAGTCCACTCATTAGCCCTTCTTTTCAGCACTCACATGCGCTACAATTGAAATGAGTCATCGTCAGGCAATAGCTCCGCCTGTGCATACTACAGCCACTCCTGCTGTTGCTAAGATGACTTGACCCTCAGTGTGCTCCGGTGCTTAAAAGCCTTGTTTGGTTGGTGTAAACAATCACGATGCAATTGTGTATTTTGCGCGTGCATCAATTTTCTATGTTTATGCTTGCTTTGTCATTGTCCTGAATATCTGTACAATTTCAAAATTGATGATGAAGATTCGAATCTATCATGATTGATTATCAGTTCGTCAAATTTCTAAATCAACCTCTTCTGACCCTTATTTTTATCACTAATTCTATTAATTTGGATACACGTATGAAAGTTGGGCTTTTGACTGAATGTTCGAATTTTTTGCTCCGTATAAAGATCTTCTTTGGCAATACTGAAGCAAAAATGTAGTTGACTGCCGTGTTCTGTGAGCTTGTTTACATTTTGATGCCGTTTTCTATTTATAAGCATCACCTATTTGTACGTTATTCGAGTTGGTTTTGTTCAAAAGAATTATATTTTGACATCTCGTTGCGTTTCTGCTGATCTTCTTTTTGTAGTTTTGGGTGTTGTTGACCGCCCTAATCGGAAAATTAACCATCTTCCTTAAAATGAGGCATTGATGCCACCTGTTTTTAACTTCCATTGGTTCAAAAAGGAAATTATTGCAAACGATTTGCGGTGTCAAAATCTTTGTTATTGGATTTCAATTAACAAAATAAGATCAACGTAGACTTTTCAAAATGAATGAGATGATAATTATTTGATCATTAACACATCAATGTCCCGCAATATCCTTCCCGTAACTTCGTGCTGCTAACCAGCGTTTTTTAGTTTTTTTTTCAATAAATACGAACTGGCTCCTTCAATACAGAAGTTTTAAATTTAAGAATTTTGGTACATTTATTTCATCTAATATTCATGCAGTCACGTAAATTCGGGTATACGCAAGTCTTGTCAATTGAAGACAGTTGTATTTTCACTTACTATTTGTATTGATGAATCTCCGAGTTCATGAGAATCGGCATTCCTATTTCACCTCCTATCTATGATGAGACTGGAAATAAGGCAGACTTTGACTTTAATCGTTTTCTAATTACACTCTTATCTTTTTCACCATTTCATTGTCAACACGTGTTTGTCTTATACTATTGACAAATAGTACCGAACTTTTAACCTTTTTACTAGATCCAAGGAGATTGCTATGAACTGTTAATCCCCCAAAATGGCTGCAGTCCCAAACCTCAATTGTAATTACCCTGGATTGTAGTCCAAAGAAACGAATCCACAATTTTGCACTTCTTAACTAATATGCAAATTCTATGAATAAATAGCAATAAATTAGTAATTTCGTTTCTTAAAACACTATATATAGTTACTATCTATTGGTTATAGTGCCAATTATGGTAAATACTGGGATAGTTGGGAGAAGGGGTACCGTCCTGGTTGGCAAATACGCTAATAGTTGAAAGCAGGATTAATCGGTTCACTCACTGATTGTACCTCATGAGTACCGAATTAGCAAGTTTTGATGCCGTTTACAAGTAAACCTATCCTCATGACTTTTTTTCTATCGATGAGAGCAAGTAGATTTTGCCAATATTCCGAGGTTCTCTTGGTAATCAGTCTGTTTGAACTTGTTTAAAATGAGCTGGTTTGGTTCTCTAAATTGATCGCTTTGATTAAATGGTTTATTTCTCTCGTTACTTAATTACTATCATTAGAAAGTAGATTATTTATAGTATTATATTTTGAAAATGTATATAAATTCCTCTAGGCATCCCTATCTGGAATTTGAATCCACCCGGTGAATTCTTACCGGATGATCTCAGTTTTCCAGGTCACTTACACTGACACCGACACTGATTGATGATGGTCGACAAAATCGTTTTCATAACCGTGATAAGAGTCGCAAGGTAGGCTATAAGAAATTCGAAGTACAATTTTTCGACGCCAACTAAAATTATTTATGGGTGCATGGTCAACACTTCGAATTTATTATGGAAGGATCTTCACTAACTGTGTGATTTCTTACCTCTCCTAATACGCCAGTGTCTGGATTGCTGTTCACCAAAGTTAGGTTTATTTAATTCTCTCATTTTAGATGGCAGACGATATGCACATCTGTTACAAGAAGTCCTTGGTGAAGCGCTACATCGCTACATATCAACCTGAGGTGCTGCTGTGGTACCACGTGCCTTTGCCCACCGCTCCACTGAAGTCCTCTAATTTCCGGGGTATGTTGTCACTTTCAGGCATAATTATAAACATTTCTGTTCACTAAATTTACTGAAGTTAGTATTTGTATTGAATTTAAATGAATTATGTGCCTTTTCGATGAGATTTAGAACAGGTGCCGTTTCCCAATTAGGAAGGGTGAAAATATTTCATATTGTCTTTTTATTTCAGTTTTGCAAGCGCTTTAGAGGTGGTTGTAAATAGCTTACGTATATTTATTTGTTCTTTACACTGACCTTGCCGCGTAGAGTCATCACTATAAATAAATAGATGTTGTTTTTCTGTAAATAAACAAACAAATGTTAGACTAAGGATCAGTTGCTGCAACTTTGGTCACTAGCTTTCCACTTAGTTTATGTGGCAAATATGCTTTATTTCCTAACTCATAGCATCTATCTCAATAAACGCAAGGAGGCGGGGTGGCTCCTTAAAGAATCTCTTAATGAATTACAAATAAACGAACTGATTGTGTCTGCAAGTGAAGAATCGTCAAATAGGTTCTTTCTTCTAGCAAAGTGCTTAATGCCTCTTTAACGTGCTTATGTATTAATAGCAAATCTGCGTGTTGACAAATTTAGATTGTTCAGGAGTTTTGCCACGATTTTTAATTGTTTAATAATTTATTACCATTTTCATTACCTTGGTGGGCTCAAATAAAGCTGTATTTATTCAGGTACGCATTTGTCTAAAATTTATTCTTTAAATTTTATATGATATCTTTAAAGTTTTTTTTTTTTAAATTGTACGGTCGTTTTTTCCGATCAAATTTATGTCCTTCGTCTAATGAAGTAGACGGTAAAAATCCGTTTTCTTGTAACTTTCTTCTTCTTTGCGCTTTCTGGCCTTATTTCAATATTAGGGTGTGTGTGTGTGTGTGCAAAGTTAAGTGCTTACCTATTGGTCGACATGTTTCGGAGTTGTCCCACCCCCCTCCCCCTTTGTCATTCTTTAAAAATGGCCAATCGGGAGAAATTTTGCATCTCACCAATTTTTCCCAGTTACTTTACCAGTTTGTATGCTTCTAGACTCGATGAACATTTTTTATTTGTGTAGATCCCATGCTTTTTGAGAGGAAGTATTAGTTGACACTGACGTGCTCTTTGAAATCCTCATTCCACCATCCCTTATTCAGTGCCCTTTTACCTCTGTCGTTTCGTTCAATGAATGTGAATATCTACTCCGTTTTTTTCTGATTTCGATATTTTGTTATCAAGATGCTTTATCGCAATGATTAGAGTTTGTCAACTCTGAAGGTGGTAGTGGCTTAGGCCTGACGTGTATATCATTCTTTGAATTGGGCTGCTTTTATTAGGAGTTCTCAGTGTTCATTAAATTTGCTACCTATTTACCTCCTTAGGCAATGTTCGGTAATTTGTTAAATTGGCCATGAGTGGGCGTAAACAAGAAATGCTTATTCATATTACACATGTTGAACAGACTATAACTGCCAAAAGTGAAACGGTTAAAACTAATTCTCATTTTTCATACTGTTCTCTCCCCTTGACTATCGTATGGAAATGTCAAATGTAATTTACATGTAAGCACTGATATGACAGAACGAATGTAATTGAGCCAATTCATGGAGAGCTCCCCCCCCCCTTGTTCACATTTAGTGCTAAATGAGTGTTTTAGGCTAAAAGTATTTCTTATTAAAATTGAACATATATCTAATAAAGTTATAATTATTATCTCCGAACTTGTTACCTTTTAATCTAGCTGAAATTTAACCAACAAAATAAATCACGCTGTTGCATTGCTAGTCGTAAGCCATTTCGCATTTTCTGTGAACCAATGGGATAAAAATGGCCTTCATGATGATTATAGTCTCCCTTTCATAATAGGGGGTCTCTACATTTCCATTTAAGTAACCACCGATACAACTGGGTGTGTGGTACTTTATATGAATTAATAGCTATTTACTAATGCTTGACTTCATAAGCCTATATAATCACGGCTATTAAAGTAGGAAAATCATGAAGCAACTCCTTTATTCCTTCGAACATTAATTTATTTTTTTAAAATGGCAGGCGTTTTGATTGTTATCATTGGTCTTTTAGTTGAATTTGGGGTTCACAGAGGGGAGGTACATCAAAGTCACAAAAATTCGAGGGGGGGGGGAGAGGGGAATAGAAGAGTGATTCAAAGATGTAGAAGAGGCAGATATAAAGGTAGAGAAAAAAGGTAGGGTGAGTACTGCGGAAGTGGTGGAATATGACATATAGTGGGGTGATGGTAGTTTGAAGTCAGAAATCAACTGCCGGTCAATAGACCTTTTTGCCGTATGAGTATACGTTGCCCAGGGTGCACCACGTGGAGGTAAGTCTATCGCACACCCCATTTCTTCGAACTTACTACTTGTGTTATAACCTTGGAAATTAAATGCTATTTTATCTTGGAATTTTTCTTGGAAGATAGGTGTATGAATTTTGTTATTACGGTAACTCTTACTACATCCTCGAGAGTGGGGGGGGGGAATAGTCACATGGAGGTCGCTAGATACATCTTTACTTATCCATGCATATATTTTTGAGAAGCATACTAAACTTAGGCAGCTTGATCTATGTAGTAAATAGTGATAAGTCGAACAGCCGTGTAAAATTAAATCAATGATGAAACAAGTGGTGGCCATAATTAGGACAATTGTCTGTTGCGGGAACCTTCAATTTATCTCCCATCTTAAACCAAGTTGTGTTGTATAACTACCCAGTGGAACTTATATTGTATCCATTTGCATTATTTTTGATTTCATATGTGCAGACAAACGAACCTATGTACGGTGAGGTAAGTATGGTCAAGTGTTCATGGGTCGATGTCATTATTGTTAATTTGTTTGTAAGATCAAATTAAACCTATTTAATTCAACTATCATTTCTTGATCCCCATTATCCATTTTAACAGATATTATTATTATTATGTCAAATGGCAGGCGTTTTGATTGTTATCATTAGCCCTTTAGTTGACTTCAGGCTTCACAGAGG